GGGGGCGGGGGCGGTGGAGTGGGCGGTCCCGGCTGGGTAGGGGGCGGGGAGGCGAGGGGAGGCGGGGAGCCCGGCCGCCAGTGCTCAGGGTCCGCCTCTGACTGCGGCGCGGCGGGGCGATGTGTGATTACCATGGCGAGGAGTCTCTGTCCGGGGGCCTGGCTAAGGAAACCCTATTACCTCCAGGTAGGCCGGTGGCGGCCCCGCCACCCTCCGCGGACGGCCCCCGCCTTGCGTCCGATCGCGCGCGGGACTCGTCCCCTCTCTCCTCTCTTTCCTCCCTAGGTCCGCACCCTCCAGAACCCCGCTGCCCCCTGCCGTCCGGCACCTGGCGGCGCGCCCTCCGCGGTCGCCCAGGCGCTGCAGCCCCCTCGGCGGCGCTGCCAGCGCCCGCGCCCCCACGGCTACCCCTGCGCCTCCTGCGCCCAGGCCAGCCCGGCTCCGGGGCCCGTCCTCGCTCCCCGAGAGCCCTGAGGTGTCACCCGGGTGCGACCCTGCGCCTCAGGCGCATTCCCCAGCCCCACGCTTCTCGCAAGCTGCTCGGGACGTGCTGCCGTCGTCTCCCTGGTGCTCTCGGTGTTCTCACCCCTCCCCCGTGGGCCCCGCAGGTCGAGTATTCTTGACTTTTTGTCCTGAGTCTTTAATCAGTGATAAAAAAAAAAAAGGTGATGTATCAGTTCTCCATATTTTAGAAATTTATAGCAATTTGTCACGTCAGTGTTTTCAAAACCCCCAGTAAGCGGCGAGTGCCTCGTGCTGAGCCTCTTGGTTCGGTCTTTCCATCATATCCATGATTTAAATGGGAGGTAGGGTTTGGAAGCCCGAGGGAGCCGGATGAGTGTTTGCTTTTTAAAAGGAAAGGGGACAGTGTCTGGTGTACCGATCTCAAGTACCCCAGCCACGCAAACGTAATTCTCACTCATGTCGTGTGTACTGTTGGCGTGTTAATTTTTCATGGTTTCCCTTTCCACCCTCTGTTCCGCTGCCAGTCTCTGCCTTCGAATCTTACTGTCTTCATGTACTGTTTAGTCACCAGGGGGATGTAGTAGACACGAGGAGTAGCTGAGCCCAAATATATCAACTGGATGAAAAATAACTGCAAATCAGTGCCTCGCGTGGGTCAGCAGTGCTGTCTGCATTCAGAGAACAATATTTCTTTGCTGCTTTCATTAAAAGGCTTAAAGACACTGGTAGATAATTTTGGGAAGGGAATTCATGGTCAACTGGTGCTTTTATAAATTATGAAGAAAGTTGAGATAGAACCATCATGGGGCAAATAAATCTTACATTTTTGTTTGAAAATTGTATGTGTCAAATCTTATCCTGCAATGAGTGATGTATTGCAAATTGGAAGCATGATTTGGCAATCCATAATATGAAGGGATGGGAATAAAAACTGAATTCCCTGAGTCTTTTTAAAAGCAGCTCCACCTGTAGTAACTGTGCCTTGAGTAAAGGTAGCATAACCCAATCTTTTATGTCTAATTGAAAGACAGTGGTGAGCATGTGGTACGAGTAGGTACTTCTTTGTAACCTTTTATGTGGGCAACAAGTATCTTTCTAGACTCTACCCCCAAAATACGTTTATTGGAATTTTGTGTTTTTCTTAAGACTACCTGGCTCTTTATGCTTTTTGATTTGGTTGCAGGCTTTTTTTTTTTTTTTTTTTTCATTTTAGAATTTGATCCCTTTGGCTATAAATGCTCTCCACAAATGTGGCTGTGACAACATTTTTGCACTGTACCACAAAAGCTTTCAGAATGTTTAAGACTTGTTTTACAAATAGTTTCCTTCCATTAATGGCAAACATTTGGCATTTCTACCTTTCCGAATTTGCACATCATCTATTACCAAATTAAGATAAACTCAGATTTTAAGCATTTTAAAAGGATTTCAGGGCATAGTGATATTTTAGTAGGCTATTTCTATATAAAATTCTTATCAAGTAGAAAATTTATTGATTGTAGTATTCGAGATAAAAAAATTCAAAACCTGGGAACTGGAATCTCAGGGGACTGGTGTTTTAAACATCTTCTTGGTATTAGTGTTTATTCTCTTTATGAATTTTCTTGTTAATTGTCCCTCACCATACTGCTTCAATATAACCAAAGCTTAAAAAAAAAAAAAAAAAAAAGCCTTCAAATTACCCAATTGTCATACTTCTTCTGTTCCCTCTTGCCTAAATATCTCATCATCTGCTTTTTTCACTTTCTTTACCACTAGGCATTTTGGGCAAAGTCAAAATATTTTCAGCTAAGACTATTGTATACAGCTAGTTTCTCAGCCACTGAAGGGCGAGTTAATATATATAGTACCTTTTCCTTTTTTATTTTTCTTGTTTGCCATTCAGATTGATATTAAAATCACATTCCTTTAGGAACAGCATGAGACATGAAAACAGAGCTGAGTTCTGTTCTCATTTGTGCACCTGGTTTATATTATGACTCTGAAAAAGTTACTTAATCTTTTGGTTCCATAGATTCCAAATCATAACGTGGATATTACAGTTCTTAGCTGAGTATGTCACATGAATATGTGAGGATAAGCTAGATGAAGTTAAATGTTTTGTGACATTTTTACTACAGTTTTAATAGAAAAGCATGTGAAGTTAAATGGTTAATGCATATAGGTAAATACACTGAAGTCCTTCAACTACGGGTTCCAGACTTTTCGCCTTTTATTATTGAGCATTTCTTGAACTAGGTGCATGGTATGACTTATGTTATTGACTCAGTCATTTACTTAATACTTGTTGTATGCCTGCCACATGCTAGAAATTGTATGAGGTGGTGAGGATTCTACAGAAGCTAAGCAAACACCTTTCTGGTTCTCATGGAGCTTGAGGTCTAAGTGGGGAAGACATACATTAATCAGATAATCATAGAAATACGTTGTTATTACAGTAAGTGTTATGAAGGAAAAAGAGAGGAGCTGGAGACTGCTGGAGAGGAAGAAAAGTTCCTTTTTCTCTTTTAAAAGATTTTTAGTATGGAAATTTTTAATACACACATAAAAAATAAAAGAATACTGAACTTTCATGTACCTATCACCTTGCCTCAACAGTTATCAGTGTTTGTTTCATTTTCCCCTCCTCTGTGGCCCCCTCCCAGCTAGAGTATTTTAAATCAAAGCTCAGACATCACATCATTTCATACAGATAGCTCAGTACACATTTCTAACAGATAAGGATATTTTTAGATGTAACCACAATAACATTATCACGCCTAACAAAATTAATAACAATTTCTTATATTTTCCCCCACCTCTTCCTAGAGACATGTCATTTTGGGAGGACTGACTAAATTCAGCTTGCCACAGTGTGGGCTTTCTATGATTTGAGAGGGTCTCTCTCTGTCTCTTTTTTTTTTTAATTGTGGTGAAAATATATGTAACAAAACATATGCCAACTCAATGATTTCTACAAGTTTGAGAGGGTCTCTTGGCAAAAACAAAATAAAAACACTTCCCTTACCAGCTTATTCGTGTTCAGAATTCTTCGTACAAGGGAAACTAATTCTCGTTTCATGTTTTGACAGTATGTCTTAAAATACAAATGTCTGGTTTAAGTAACATTTTTGTGTGAATATATTATTTTATAGTGAGGCTATAATTAGTTGAGGTGTAAGAGATCCTATTTTGTTTGGGGCTAGGGGAAGTGGGTGAAGAGTGCAGAAGGAATTGGGTGTCAGAGATAGGGGAAAGACATGAAGGACCCAGCAAGGGGAGAGGGAGGTTGCAAGGACCAGCTTTGTACACTTGCAGTTTTACTGTTTGTCTTCAACTGGGTGGAATCAAAGAGCAATTATGTCCTGAGGTGTTGAGGCCTTGGGACTTGCAAGTTCTTCTTCCTACAATTTATGGTGAAAAAAATTTAAGCAGCTGACTTAAATATAAAGGAGCTTCATTCCCAGCATTTTCATTTATCCAGATAAACCAAAAAATCAAACCCACTGCCGTTGAGTTGATTCTGACTCATATCGAACTAGGAGGTAGAACAGATGCAGTAAACACATTATTAAGCTGATTGACTGAGATGTCCCGTGCATGAAACCATGACCCTAAATGTCCAAATCAAGGGACCATATCTTATGAGGTGTTTGGTTACACATAAGCAACCTCAGCAGCCACTCTTTTTTTTTTTTTTTTGTAAATATACCAATCACACAACTTTTTTTTTTTTTAAATTATGCTTTAGGTGAAAGTTTACAGCTCAAGTTAGTTTCTCATACAAAAATCTATACACACATCGTTATGTGACCCTAGTTGCTATCCCTATAACGTGACCGTACATTCCTCCTTTCCACCCCGAATTTCCCGTGTCCATTCAGCCAGCTCCTATCCGTTTCTGCCTTCTCATCTTGCTTTCGGACAGGAGCTGCCTATTTAGTCTCCTGTATCTATTTAACTAAGAAGCACACTCTTCATAAGTATTATTTTATGTCTTGTAGTCCAGTCTATTCTTTGAAGAGTTTGCTTTGGGAATGGTTTCAATTCTGGGTTAACAGAGAGTCCAGGGGCCATGTCTTGTGGGGTTCCTCTAGTCTCAGACCATTAAGTCTAGTCTTTTTACTAGAATTTGAGTCCTGTACCCCACTTTTCTCCTGCTCCATCAGGGACTGTCTGTTGTGTTCCCTGTCAGGGTGGTCATTGGTGGTAGCTGGGCAATGTCTAGTTCTTCTAGTCTTAGGCTGATGCAGTCTCTGGTTTATGTGGCCCCTTTTGTCTCTTGGGCTAATATTTTCCTTGTGTCTTTGGTGTTCTTCATTCTTCTTTGCTCCAGGTTGGTTGGGACCAATTGATGCATCTTAGATGGCCACTCACTAGCTTTTAAGACCCAGAGACCACTCACCAAAGTGGGATGCAGAACATTTTTCTTAATAAACTTTGTTATGCCAGTTGACCTAGATGTCCCCAGAAACCATGGTCCCCAGGCCCCTGCCCCTGCTACTCTGTCTCTTGAAGTGTTTGGTTGCCAGTCACACAACTTTTGCCAGTTCAGCGTTTTATAGGTATACAACTTATTGATAGGAATTACAATAATCTGCTGTACCACCCTACCCTTAATCAATGTGATTTTTCCTTCACTGTTAACTCCACTCTTTCCCCTTCCCTCCTGCCCTGGTAACCACTAACAAACTTTGGTCTCTGTACATTTGCTTTTTCTTATCTTTTTATATAAGTGAGAT